CTTCCTCTTGTCACAGTATTTTCTCCAGTTTGGTGCATTATAATGGAAACAGTCAACACCAGAGAGTCTGATACAAAAGGGGATGAAAGAGGTGAACTGATGTGAAGCATTATCACCAGATATTGGATATAAAGGTTTGAATCAGTGTTTCTGGAAACAAACATGTATGTTGTTTGATGCATCTACAGTATATGACCTACATAAACAAACCAGGCCATTCTTAATGGCTGCCATCGGATCAGATTCGGTTGGATTTCCCTTGAAATCAATGAAAGAAGGCATTACAGACACTACCGCTTTTCAAGATATTTTGGAATATTTTGGCTTCCTTATCTGCTTCCCTCGAAGTTCTTGACAATTTAGGGACAGTGGAAATAACACTCAGCAACACTGACATCATCATCTTTTGAGCTGAAATCCAGCAGTTTAAGAGCAACATTATTATTCATGTATATTAGTCATGTTTGTGTCCAGTGTTCACTCTAATTTTAGCTCTCTGTTTGGTCTCCAGAGGAAAATATGTGGTTCTTTGGCTGTAAAATGTTCCACTGTGTTCACAAGCTATTCACTAAGCTTTGTGGCTGCAGTGTGGTGCTGGACGTACATAGGTAGAGTACAGTGGGAGTTTTTAGAGTTTGGCGGTGAGACTGAACCAAATATGGAAAGTTGTGGATTGGACAAGCGGATGATAATTGTCTGTGTGTATCTACTTGATTATATAAAGCATAAATTACAGGGGGAAAAAAATGTTGTTTTTACAAAGTGTACAAAATTAATATATTTAAAATGGTAGCCTGTGAAATTTGAAGAGAAATGTCAATACAGATGAAAAGGTGTTGCACCAGGATGTGCTGAAAGCCTCGACAGGTACTTGTTAATGGTTTAAAACTTGACTCTTCAAACCTTTGACAATATTATTCAAAATTTTAAGGCTTCAGTTCATATAAAGGACAAGTTGTGGGCCAAGCCAGCAAGAATAAAGACACTGCACAAAGACATGTTATGTCACCAGCACTTCCCGACTAACTGGTTTGCTGTCAGTCACTGTCACTGGTGAGAGCTGGTAATACACTGCTGTAATTGTACTTTACTTTTATTGAATTCTCATCAGCCCGTTATCAAAGCACTGATCATTCCAGCTAAATAATCCAGTTTTGTCTCTGCAGTGTCACATGAGTGTGTGACAGGAAAATATTAAATACATCAAGCAGACAACAAGCAGATGCTGCACATGCTGAATGTTAATTACATAAACATTTTAGTTCATTAAAATGTTACTTAGTGTTACAAAATGTCACACACAGCACAGTCTCTAGTGTCTCTTCCCCTCTATAAGAAAAACCCTTATGCACCTCCACTTTCGTGTGCAGATCGAGAAATGACAATAGATGGAGTGAGGCCTGCCACATGGCGCCCTCTGTGTCCTCCCCTCCCTCCTCTCCCCTCCTCACCCCAGCTCCTCACCACATCAGGATACACTTGTTCTGGTGAATTCCGGTTTCAAACGGAACGCTGCCTTGCTCTGGTTTTCTGCAGGACCAGTATTAAAAGCAGGCACATACTGTCTCTCAGTGGCCCTGTGGTCAGGGAGGGGGATCCTCTAACGGCCTGTTATACTCACACACCTTTGAAACCTCACCCGCTCCTGCTTCCTCCCCCCTCCTCACCCTTGACAGCAAACATGCACACCCTTATCACCATGAGAGCAGATTAAAGAATGAAAAGTTCCTTCCACTGCAGGCCAAGGCCAAGTTCATCACCTCCTCTCCGCCTCTGTCACGCTGTCACATCACTGATTCCTTTTCCACCACTGACACGCTGATGTTTAGCCTGTGTGGTAAATAATCTACATATTCCACATTAAAAACATATTGTGAAGATATAAACACAGTCTTTACATTTCTCAAACTCGTCTCATTGTAGTCGTGTTTTGTCCTTTGACCTCCAACCTCAATTACGGTGCCCCTAATGTTGAAAAGATGCACTGCAACAAGTTTTTTTTAAACCTCAGACCAAAAAAACAGTATTTTAACAAGTCAAAGCTCTCTTGTTTTGCAGCTCTTCTGTGACATAGTTGTACCCGTATCAGTCTGAGACATCAAAACCCCTAAAAAGAAATCATATTTTACAGAAATATATAGCTTTAATATGTATACATATGACATCATTACCTTCTAACCCAGCAGTATTCACATAAACGTATTGTGTTTGACCCAGTTATTGTTTCTGACTGTTTATTTTCATACAGAGCACAATATGTATTGTTTTGTACTTTCTATACACAGGAGGTCTCTGCCTCTTTGTCTTTGTGACGGAGTTGCAATTTCTCACGTGAAAGTGCCTGTGAGACAGAGGGAAAATCATTTTCCAGATTTCCTCTTTGCTAACCAACATTGCCACCTGGTGTTTAACAGACAGACTGGCTCACTTATCCAGCCTCAGTCTAGTCAAGATGAGAGTTGATGGGCTTTGAACAATTGATCTATAAAAACTGAACTCATATTTGCTCTATATGAAATACCTCATCACCTTTTTGATCAGTTTTTGGTCTATGTAAGTCATTTCTTTAACTGAACTAAATCTAAAGAAGGACTGGAATACATTTTTACTGTAGTGAAATTATAGTGTGTAGTGAAGTCAGACATGATATTGTCACTCTTTACCCGGAGCGAGACTGATTACTAGATGATTAGTAAAGCTGATCATCGTTAAAGTAGGGTGGATACATATCGCCTGAATAAATAGATGATTTGACAAAGAAACTGAAACACAGTTTATAGCAGTAGCCATTTGGGAATTTGTTTTTTTGTTAATATTATCTCTTAACTTTCTGTGACTATGATGACTCTTCAAATTAGCTCATGCACCTTGTAAATGTCTCCCTAGAACCATAGTATGCTTTCATCATACTCTATACGGGCCAACAAGGTGGTATAAAGATGAGTTAGGCTTCTGTTCTCTATCTGATGTTTTACTGTGGCACACAGTAATGAATGACACAGGTCACAGGGGAACTTCCCTCAGAGAAGCGCAGTGTTTCTCAGAGGGATGTGCTGGCTAACCGCTGCCCAGGCTGGGCTTCCGGCCCTGGGGCAGCAGAGCTTGCCGGTACCCCTCACACCCTGCAGCACCACCACTATCACCCCACTCCAGACACTGTGCCAGGATACTGTGGTGACACAACCCTGAGCCTCTGTTCCTCCCTTGTCAACAAGACTGATGGATGCAGAGAGGAGGAGAGGAGAAAAGACAGAGGACAAGATTGATATTTAAAGTAACTGCAGTTCAGAGTATGAAGAATGTTTTTTTTTTGTGCCTGTGTGAGGGAAGGGGAGGGTAAATTGATAATGAGGGACAGAATGAAAGAAAAAAGGAAAGTGACAATGAGTAGAAAATAAATAGATACTAGTGATTTATTTTCATATCAACAATTGTCTCTTTTAGATATTGAGCTGCATTTAAGGTTCATCGTTATCCAGCACTATTTAAAAAAATATTTCTCAAAGATGGAAACTTTATTTAGACCAAATAAAATGTGTGTTCAGTTTAAAAAGTCTAAAAAAGACCCACTTTACCAGTTATCTTCAGCTAAAATAAAGCTTTTCTCTGACTCCCCAATATGACCAGGAACCACCAGGGGGCAGAACATGGAGCTTTTTACCTTTCAAACTTGTATTGTTTTCTCCAGTAATACAACACACACAAAGACTAAATCAAATGAGAAAGCTGATATGTATAATGGCTTATATGGGTGATTTATCTTGATTACTTATGGTCAACTGGCTGCTGTGTGTGTGCAAGTATATGCGTAAGACACACAAAAGAGAAAAAGGAGCTTCTGGCTGCATAACAATAATTAAGGCGGCATGATCTAACCATCTTCAATGGAAGCTATTTTATTTCTTATGTGCACTTGTTTTAATGAAGTCAAGCACATCATGAACCTCCTTATCTGCTGAGAGAACCACGTGTGTGTGTGTGTGTGTGTGTGTGTGTGTGTGTGTGTGTGTGTGTGTGTGAAATACAGGCGTGTGTGTATAAGTAGTGTATGTGAAATTCTGTTGCTGGTTCAGAGTCTGACCGCTGTGTGTGTGTGTTCCCCCCCTCACTGGTTAATATTAGACACCCTGCTTGTTGGAGAGACTGACAGCTCATCATGAACGCTGCTAAAATAGATGCAGCCATTTACACACACAATGAGACACACACACTGACCATCTACCAACACACACACACACACACACACACACACACACACACACACACACAGACAAGCATCACACGTGCACGGACAAACTCACTCAGCGCTCACACACCAACTCTAAACTCCCAGAAAAGCCTGTGTGAAGCACAGCCAGAGAGGGAGCCGCCCGCCTGACGCCAACTCCAAAAAGCAGGTGAGGCTGACTCTTGTGTGTGTGTGTGTGTGTGTGTGTGTGTGTGTGTGTGTGTGTGACTTGGTAGTAGTGGGCAGAGGGCAGTTTTGTGGTATGATGACGGGTAAAGCTCTTAACGTTCAGCAGCAGTGTGTCAGACTTAGACCTGGGAAAGTATGAGCAAGGTAAAGGTGAGAAAAATGGCTTCTCTAAAAATGGGATTCTGTCTGTTTAGTGTCAAACTGTGAGCTTTGGGTTTGGCTCTCTAATAATACTGTTGCAGGCCTGTGGGTAGACAGAAATGGGTTTTAAAAATCCTTCTCAGCTCTCTGTCGCATGAATGAATGACATGGTGATGAAGTTTGAATTTGAGGAGCTGTGTATCACCTGACTGTTAGAGTCCCCTGCAGGGTCACACTGACCTCTTAGGTTTTCAAAATGTCACAGAGTTTAGGCAGGTAGTGGCTCATACACACTCCAAGGGTTTCCTCAGGAGTAGTTCCTTACCTCTTTTATGAACAGTTTGGGTTGAGTTTCATCTGAGGCATTACAATAAAATCATCCTTTACATGTAAGCAATGATTGCATGTAGACACATACCTCACCAGTCATCCTAGTGATTAATTAAAATACCACAGAATGTTGTTTTTAATGTACAATAAAGAGTCTGGAGACTTCTACAAACAGTATTTTCAATATCTATTTCTTTGTTTCACTGTAATGGAATAATAGCATATGTGGTTTATAGAGAAGAGCCCCATAAATAAACAAAATAATATTGTAATATGGAGTGCTAGTGAATGTTTAGACAATATATTTCATCTATTAGCTGCCCTCTGCACATAACACATAGTTAAGTGATATGAAAGCTGCTCTAAGCAGAGTGATGTACACAAAATGCAAAACTATCTAGCACAAGTATTATTGAAGTAGCCTAGAGCACATGTTCCTGTGAGAATTGTCATTGTTATTTTTAGGATGTTCCTACAAAGTTCCTGGGTCTTGTCTTCATCTCCACCCTCTTGAAGGAGTAGCGTTCTCCTGTTCGTCCATCCGTCAGGATGTACCATGTACCCCAGTATATACCATTGGTCACTCCACTGTAGCGCCCACGGTAATACCTTCCATTCAGATTAGCTGCCAGGCAGGCATCAAACCACCAGCCTGCACCGTAGTACTGACCACAGTTCCCAGCTGCATAGCGGTCATGGTCTCGGTCAGCAGTGCTGAAGGATCTGCCATCGTGGTTGTAACGTTTGCTGTAGCTCAAAGCATTGCCTGCATCGCCAGAGTACTCCCGCGCCGTCAGACGATATCTGGAAGAAAGAGACAGACAACTTGTGACATTTGTTGTCAGCCTTGTGTGTAACATCCAAGGAAAAAGGTTGGGAACCACTGGGCATAGAAGAGTACATCTTCATTTGCTTAGTGAAACTTCCAAACATTCAGTTCAGTTTCTTACTATGAGTGATGGGGTCCTCCAAGAACACGATTTTTTCTGCCAAAGTTACAGCAGTTTGGGTTTCTGTACCCATGAGTGCTTATGTAGCAATCAAACTACAACCAGGGGCTTCAAGATATTAAATAGCCCTTGCAGAAATTGTGTGTGCCTCTGCAGTGTGTTTCACCTCTGTGCCTCTGAGGCCACTTTGAAGTTGTTGTAGGTAGCATGGCGCTTCTGCTGGTGCCAGTCCTCCAGCTCGATACGGAGTTGGTGTTGGCCAGTGGCAGTGAGGGCGTACAGCGCTGCGTTCCCCAGCCAGTGCTCTCCCTGCAGACTACCAAAGCCCTCCCGGTATTCCTGCCATGTCCTGTTAAAGTCTAGCGAGCCATCCTGCCGATTCTGGATCACCGTCCATCCACCACCCGCTGTCTCCATGTCACATTTAGCCTGAGCCAAAACAAAGACTGTGATATTATAAAGCCTAGATTTCAGTGATCCACAGATAGCATAGACATCTCTAAAAGAAGAGGAGAAGGGTGGGGGTCCGTCTATGTGTTTTATGAGTGTGGTGAATCTGAAATACCTCCAATGCTGGCCTGTGCAGGTCAGGCTGGATGGTGTAGATTCCATTCTCTTTGATCCCAAGCTTGTAAATCTCTGCACAGTCCTGAGGATGTAACCTCTCCAAGGGGGCAACTGAGAACGGCACACAGTAAGTTTTTATTATTAATTAACAATCATAGTCGTATCATGTGATCACCCCCAGTGTCCTTACCTGTGGGTGGATATTGTGTGATGCTTTTCAGGAAAAGGAGCAAGTCTTTCTCCCCCTCTCTACCCACAGCTGCACTCTCTGTCAACCCAGAGAAGGATTAGGTTATCAATAAGACACATCAGACTGTTACACTGTTGTCAGGGGTTTTGTCTTTGTATTCTACACAGATTGTATGATGACTCTTTGAAGCTTCTTCGCATCGTGAGAGATACACTGTGTGTTTTACGTGTGCATGTACACAGAGTTTTTCTCATGCTTCTCAGTGCAGTTAAATTCCTATGCACTCACCTATGACCGACACTTAGCAGGCCTCATTGAGGTTCTGTTTACTATGTGTGGGGGGAGTGACTGCGCTGGCATTTGTGTGTGTGTGTGTGTGTGTGTGTGTGTGTGTGTGTGTGTGTGTGTGTGTGTGTGTGTGCGTGCATTTATCTGTTTGTGTGTGCATTAGTCTGTTTGTGTGTTGCAATGGTGGGGGGATATAAATCTGTACTACTCACCCAGACGTTTGGCCATCGCCCCAAGGGCCTGGCTGTGACAGTGGAGGTCACACTCTGTCAGTACAGCTGCCATTAGGGCAAGGATGGCCCCTAGAGAGTTGCTCTCCTGGCCCCCGTGACTCCAGGGGCCCCCAGTTTCCTGGAGAGAGTGCATGCAGCGCTGCAGCTGAACGAGACGCTCTTTGACGGCTCCAGTCTGCAAAGACATTGCTCACAGGTACTTATTGATAATATATTATGTCACACATTAAAGGAGACCTATTATGCTTTTCCTCAGTTTCTGTCATAGATAATATTCCAATGTCAGATGTTTAAATTAAACAAGTCTCAAATAATGATCAAATAAACATATGTAAAAATAATCCCTATGAGCAAAAAGTTCAGAATTCAGACCACTCTGATGCAACATTTCCAACGCCGTTTTTGGCTTTACGTGACAACGGAAGATCGTCACTGATCTTTTTATATGATTACCTGCTGCAGGCAGAGCACGCCCACAAAGCACAGGGACCAGCTCAGTCCGTCTAAGTTATTTGACTGCTCTGGTCAGGGGTCAGGACTAACCCTTCAAGTTGTTGAATGCAGAAAGTGCTGCTAGTTAGTGGCTAAAGTAGCTAACCATTAACAACAAGTAGCTAAGGCTGTATTAACACCAGGAAACTGTAAATCACTGAAAGTTGAAGCCAGAGTAAATCAGAGGGAAGAAGGAGACCATGGGCATTTTTCTCCATAAAATATGATTCGGTTTCACTCAAATTAGTGAATCAAGATTTAAAAGTCATTTTTCCAACCTAATTATTGTCTCATTTGTGTTCTGATAAACAGTAAATTCATCATATTCAGTGCCCTATATCACTATTTTCCAAGCTAAGTTACTGAAGCTGTCATGCTGTCGAGAGCACACCTGCGGAAGGAGGAGGCATTGGGTACAGCTCCTCGGTACACTTCCACAAAGTTGGTGAATCAGAAGAAAGTGGGCTTTTAGAGAGGAGGAGACGAGACAGCCTGATTCAGACAGGATGAACTGAGGGGCTGCATGAAGGGCCAGTATAAGACAAATAAGGATGTTTTTTGAAGGGTGAATCATGGAAAGCTACTCTAGTGGAGACTCAGACTATGAATATAGAGCTGGAAATTAACATAATAGCCCTCCTTTAAGTCAACAATCGATCATGAGTAAACACAGCCTAATCTTTGTTCTTCAAGGGAATCTCATGTATATATATATATATATATATATATATATATATATATATAAATGTTGTTAAGTGAAATAGTGCTTAAGAAAATGAAGCTGTGCCTGTGCAAATCCATACATCCTTCAGTTTGGAAGATGACATCTCAAAGGTTAATCCACGCCCAAAACTCACAGCTCAGTGGCATGTTTTGTGTCATCAATCTCTTACACTTACATCAGCCATTGTAATCACGTCCCTCACACACCTGTTGCTGCATGAGCTCAGCACAACCGTTTGATGAGGACATTTTTAAAGCGGACCTAATTTTACCCCTTCTTTGATTGCTGACTGTCATTGCTCCATGGCTGTTAGGTGGTGCCAAGTTTAGTGTGCCGACTGTCCCATGAGAAAGGACCTGCTGGCCTGTGCCAGATACTGTAGTATACACTGCTCAGTCTCTGTGGCACACGTGCATGAATAGACAAAGGGATTAGCTCTGCTTCAACGTGTCTATCAATGTTTCTGAATCATGTCTGAGAAATATCTGATTAAAAGTTGCATTACCTTTCTTTTCTTAGAATAACCATTTAAGATTACAGCAAAAGCACAGCTGATGACCTCCTACTACACTTACCTTAGGCTGAACTTGGGGGAAATCGTGCCGGTGCTCCACCCTCCGAGGAACATCTGAGATGGCTGGAAGTGAGACTCCCATCCTGCAGGCTGTTGTCCCGGTTTGACCCTCGCAGGCTCCGGTACCCACTCCTGCTCCCATACCAGGCTGGATGGGTGCAGCCACCAGATTGTCCCTGCAGGGAGGGTGTGTGCAGGCTGGAGATGCATCTGAGGACAGCAGTGCTCCCACATACAGTGACAGCAGAAGGAGCAAACAGAGGGAACCGAATGGAATCATGGGAAAATGCAGAAATGCAAGATTTTCCTGACCTTTGTCCTAAACTCTTGAGCAGTGGTCCACGTTTTCCTCAAGGATGAAACCCTCCTTACCCCGAGTCAGAAGCTGTTTGTCCTTTTGTTATTGACGATTCTCAAACTTTCGCTTCACTTTCCTTTATATCTCTGCCTCTTCTGGTGGAAAGTCTTTGCTGACCTGTCCTTTTTGTTCAGATCTTTCTAATGTTGGCTTCGTCTGTTTTGTTTTCTAGTCTTTGTGCTTCTTTCATCCTCTTCTTCTTCCTTTTATTTTTACCTCTCAGTTCATCTCACTCCCGGTCCTCCTCTCTTTCTCAAGCTCTCTCTCTTGTTAGTGAAGTTGCTTTGGCTCAGATTCCTAGATAACTGCGGCACTCTTTGCTGTCTGACACGGACTAATGCACCCACCCCCTGATGCACACACACACACACACACACACACACACACACACACACACACACACACACACACACACACACACACACACACAATCTGTCCATCTCCTTAACTCATCTCATTCTCTCTCTCTTAGACTCCCACACAGCCACACACAGAGGTGCATGTTTACACACACATGAATAGAAATCCTGCTGTCTTGAACACATTACGTGCAATGTAACATTATGGATGTATAAACCATCATTTCACAGATTAGTTGCCCTTTTTAAATTCTGTGGATGAGCTCTTCACCTATTGTCCCATTATGTTCATGCTAGAATAACTTTTTTTAAATTCCTTTCAAGAGCCCCAGACCCATTCTGAACAGACTTTAACCTCCCCTTACCCTTACCCATCAACGTGCATACATGGCAATGTTTGTAAAGATGAAAATGCAGCAGATGCTTAAAGTATGTGGCTCCTTCTGTCCTGTGTACCATTTTGTCACTCACGTCCTTTTGTGTTACAGTGTTTATGTTTACAAACTGAGTTCCAAAGAGGCCATAAAGACCCACATTCAATAGGAACGAGAAGGCAGGAATTCCTCTATAAACAGCAGTCATCAGGATCCTGCAGAGGCACACTCCCACTAACAAGGAGCACAAACACACTCACAGAGACACACAGGACGAAAGAGATCTTGGTTAGGCTCAGTCAAGAAAAAAAGGATAAATAAGATAAAATACGATAATGTGAAACTGTTGTTATGATGAGCTCTGTGTTCTTTAAGAAGTCTCTAGTTTAAACGAAGATGTTAAAAAAACTCATAAGAGAATCAAGATTTGTAATGCTACTTTTATGTCAGTAAATTGACATATTGTAATTATTTATAGATTCTGTCAAATAAATCGTCAATGTGACAACGAGAATATGGTAAACAAGAATATCACTATACATTTTTTGTTCATCATCTTTGTTGTTGCAGGGCACCTTTGACTTTTGCCATTATTTCATGCCAAATGAAAAACATTTCTTGAAATAGAATGTGTTTTTATTGTAATTGTAGTTTAAATTCATAAGAAAGAACCAGAAAAATAATTATACAGATTAATAATCTTTTGGGCAGGATTATGTCATATTTTTGACATTGTGTTGAGGGCCGGAGGGAGGGGGATGGACGGCCAGAAACGGCCTCCGGGCCTACCGTTTGAAATCTCTGCTTGAAGAACTGTGGTACTCAGTAGTTGGTTTATAATATATATAATATAATAATTGGCTTTATTTTTTAAAAATCTTTTTAATATCATTATAATGTCACATAATTACACAAGTAAAACTAAGTAAGTAAGTTCTAAATTAAAAATGTGTTCTTTTCTGTTATATTTTACAATATAAATGTACAGTCTAGACCTACTCTATATGAAAAGTGTTCTGAGATAACTTTTGTTATGAATTTGTGCTATACAAATAAAACTGAATTGAATTGAATTGAATTGAAAACGTGTTTTCATCGGACAGGTGGCGAGATATATACTCTCTGTCAGAAATGCACTTTTAAGATATGCCTCACCAACCACACACACACACACACACACACACACACACATACACATACACTGCAGTCTGCAGACAGGTTGTAAATGTTTCTACATTTTTTGTGTTCAGGGGAGAAAGACAGTCTTTCAAGTATCACAGATGCAGATCACTCACCTATCTTTGACCTTTACACTTTCTCAGCACAATGTCAGCACCACAGAGTCCTACATCGTTCTACTGAGGTCCAAAATATAAATGTGGGCTTATGTCTGGGAACACCAGTTCACTTGGTTCATTCATTCAGAATGAGTTGACACTGTCCTCTAGTGGTGGATCATCACAGCTCTGCCTTTTGACAGTGATTGACTACAATCAACCACACTGAACCATTACATCTCTAACTTGTTATCTGCGTGAAGTAGACACACACAAGACATCCCAGGAGTAGGATCAAGAGTAAGGTACTTCAGAGAGGATACAAAGTTAAAAGCTACAGTCAAAAAATCTGTTATGTTTTCAGTTGGGCTTTGTCTGATACAAACCCATATCTTGTGCAACTACTCTTCTTACGATAACACTGAGTAAACTCCAACTGCTGATGACAATCATGGGATATGATCAAAAGCTCCAAAAAGGCGGTGAAATGGACTATTTTCTCAACTGCTGTTGTCAAGGTCAAGACTGATCTTTGAACCTCAGTTCTCCACCGATCTGACACATGAAGTTCAATTTAAGGGTCATGTGGTATAGGCTACTACTCAGCCACAGTCTCAGGAAATAACACCCATGATATCGTCAGTGTTATCTCAGTTTGGGCTAAAAAGACATTAACATTTTGACACATGAAACCTGTGTTTCAAACTGGGGGTGTGGGGTTTGAAAGAAGTTTCATTATGAGATTTGTATTGGAGTTTGAACCATAGAGACTAAATATCTCAGCCTCTGCTGCTCTGACTTTAATCATTCTTTTTGTTTTTTGTGAGTCCCCCAGCTTTATGGGAGGGGAGTGAAATACTAAATTGCTGCTGTATCCCTGTAATGCCCACACGTGCTGAACTGAACCTCTATACCAATCATTTGTAACTTAAGAACATGATATAGCTCGTACTGTTTACTCTTAACGTGGATTCCTTATTTAACTGTTGCATTAATGACAAACTCTTAAAAACTGTCGCTGAGTCTGATCATATAGGCGTTTTTAATGGTTGTACTTGCTACATCCGCCAAAGATCAAGCTTGCAATGATGTTTGCAAACAAAAAAAAAGTGGGCGGGGATTATGAGTCAGCTGCGTCTGACGTATGACGCAGGCGTCGCTTTGGAGGAGGAAGTGAAAGGGGAACAGAGCGAGAGGCTGGGATAGCAGATAGTCAGCTCGCTGGCAAGCAAGCATTCAAGCAAAGTGCCAAATTTACACACTAGTTGTAGAAAATCCGCCTCGTAATTTTAGGATACAGATTTTGTAAGTCATTACGCAAAGGGTAACGCGTTTTTTTTTTCTAAACGTCCGAAACGAGGTATTGCCAAATTAACGCTAGCTTACGAGTTCAGTGCCAGCGAGCTAACGTAACGCCTAGTTAGCCACTAACGCTAACTGTCCTGAACAATAACAGCTAGTTAGCTCGCAGTCTGGTCGGTTCCCGTGAAGAAGTCGCAGCTCCGGTGTGATACAAGCTGAAAGTAAGTTTCTTTGGACAACATCGGTTTGTTAACATGCATAATATTTGCTCACTCATCAAGTCCTCCAGTGTCCTATTAACGCCAACGCTGTAGCGGCTAATAATGGTGGTGGTGCAATGTTTTTCGAGAAGCTGCTTGGCAAAAACAAGGCCGGCCTGTGGCTCCTCTCTGGGTCGACTCCAACAAGAAAGGAGAACCGGGGAGTCGAGGTCGGTCGGTCGTGTAAAGCATCGTAAAAAAAGATGGAAATATTGACTAAATCCTTAGTTTTTTTATTCGGCGTCGGTGCTTACAGAGAAGGAGAGGGGTGCGGGGCACACTTAACCTTTCACCTCCAAACTACCAATTTATGGATTGTTGATTAATGAAATGTCGAGGTGGGTTGGGTAACATGTCTTGATGGTGGAAGTATCGAGTTTTATTTGTCTTCTGCAAACGGACTGTGTGAGATAAATTTCCTGTGTCCCTGTCGTTGTGTTGCTAGGCAGACTTGTCCTTGTTTTTGTGTGTTGAGTAATTTTTGTTTCGGTTGTGACTCACAGGTCACGCAGGTACACGATCATAGGTAAATAATATAATGGTCTGATGTGGCTACAACGCCCATCACTTGTGCCAAAAAGCTTACTGCGGGGAAGTGTAACCTGAAACCTATTGACATCCAGACATAACAGTCCTGTATTTCTTTCTTATTCAAGTACACAGGTCGTCTGGCTCTTTTTTATTTGTTTTTTTTAAATCATACATATTACATTCACATTTAGAGTATAAAGACTGGCACATATTACTGTTGTGTGATTTTAGTTTTTAATGATTAATTACAGTAGTTGGCCAATGGCTCATCTCAGGTTACTTCGATACTGGAGTTTGGCTCTGAGGTTCCTGCCGACTTGTTGTTTGGATCAGCTCTAATTTAAGATTAACTCATATCCCATGAGTTAGGATGAGTCGGTTGATTCTTTGAATATATTTTTTCAGCACGGCTTATGTTCGTGTGAGCTTGTCATAGTTAAAATGCCTGAAAACTTTTTACAGTTAACATTGTAGCGTACACATCTGTGTCTCATTTTACGCTGCACACTGTACCTTCTAGTTTGTTCCGCTGTACTTTGTGTGTTTATAGTTGAGCATCTACATTTGTCTGCAGGCTCATGTGGGAAAACAATCTTTTCCTTCAAAACATTTGTTTTTAATGCTGTAGTTAAGTGATTTACCCACAGTTTTTGAGTTATTTATTGTTTTCTATTTTATTAGCATGCTTGATTTTGACCTTACTGACTTTGCTCTTGTTATTAACCCTGCACTAGTTGACTACTAGTATCTTTTTATCACAGGGGGCACCTGGAAACATAATGATGACCTAACTTTAATTATGACGCATGGAGATTGACCATTGAGAAACATCAGAACTCAATCTTCCAATTCTATATTTAGTCCAGAGACTGTTTGTATCCGTGGGTGTGCATACATAATCAAAATCAGAGGTGATCTGTTAATTCCAGCTGCTTGTGCCAGTGATTTACGTGCAGACACAAAATGTGTCGGGACTTTTATTTTTTTGTCCCAACACATGACAGTTTCAAACACACATTTCTAAACGTGAATACTAACATCAACTAGTGTAGCAATGGGCACTTGTCACTATTAAGTCATTCTAATTTTTGGTATTTTCATGACACATCATTTTTAATTAATACAGATACTTACCTAGTCATCCTTTTTCATTCTTGTTGCAACAATAATTTAGATTTGATGAAGCAGCCAGTTATGCATCAAACGCATAATAGTAGACAGAGTATGAAATTCTACCGGAAAGAGGTGGGTTACATTTACTTTTTCTCAGGAGGAAAAAAAAGCAAATTTCAGTACCAGTACTCTATATTGGTACCCAACACTACT